ATTTAGAAAAAATTTCGACAAATGAAAAAGAAGTACTTGCAATTTATTTAGCTACTTTACGATCATCACATCATTCAATAAGACATGTTCATAATAATCCAATAAGTTTATTCTTTTTTGAAATTTTTTACCTGTTTTACCTTCAAAATTTGGTTCTCTATGTATTTAATTATATTAAAAAGAAAAGAAAAAATTTAAAATTTATCTTTTCTAAGGTTTTATCATTTAATGATCAACAAATTTGAAAATCGAAAAACAGTTCGATATTCAACAATTATTCAAGATAATCAATATATTAAAGAACTTTTATTATTAAAAGATAAACAAACTACAGACATATCAACATCAACTACTCTAAGATATTTTTATTATTTTTCAAACGCGATCTAAAAGGAATGTTGAAGCATAGAAGTAGAAGTTTGGACCTCTCTCTCTCTCTCTCTCTCTCTCTTTCCCAATATAATCGTCAGATCCAAGTCAATATCGTTCCAACACTGAGATGCATTAGCACTAGGTGAAATTTCATAAACTGAAACATATTTATTGATTAATCGCTTCTTTTATAATATCAACAGCTTCATCGTGTTTCATATTGTAATTCTGCATTTTTTTTTTTCTTTATATTGAGAATCGATCTTCTTTAACAAATACTTTACGTGGTATAACAAATGAAGAAAAACTTAATAATCTTTGGCTTAAAATGCAAATTACTCTTAATTCTATATTTGATAGTTCATTAGATAATCGAAGTGGTGCTCGAGTAGCCAAAGGTATTCGACAAGTATGTTTTTCTTTGTTTTTTTTATTGTAAAATGATTAATTTTATTTTTTGAAAAAATAATAAAAGGTTATTGGAAAAAAAAGAAGGTTTATTTCGTATGTATATGATGGGTAAACCTGTAAATTATGCTGGTCGATCAGTAATATCATCTGATCCATTTATTGCTATTTATCAAGTTGGAATACCTGAAATATTTACAAAAAAATTAACTTATCCAGAATTAGTTATACGACATAATGTTCATGAATAACGTCAATTAATTCTTAATGGACCAGATGTTCATCCTGGGTATAATAGAAAAGAAAAAAGAAAAATTCTTTGATGATATACAATAAAAAAAAGATTATTTTAGCGGAAATTTTGTTGAATTTGAAGATGGAACAATTCGTCGTTTATTACCAAATAATTTATCTCAACGAACAGCTGTTGCTAAACTTTGATTAACAAGAGAAAAACAACATAGTAATACAAGTTTAATGTTTACAAAAAAAAGTGTTATCGACATCTTCGAACCGGTGATTATGTTCTTGTTAATCATCAACCAACATTACATCGACCAAGTATACAAGCTCATATGGTCAATTTTTTTTTGTTCTTTCAATGATATTTTAATTGTATTAATTATAGGCTCGAGTATAACCTGGTGAAAAAACCTTAAGATTACATTATGGTCAATGTAAATCATATAATGTTGATTTAGATGGTGATGGAATGAAAATGAATATTCATTTATCACAAAATGAATTAACACGAGCTGAACCTACTGAATTAAGTATATATGGTTTTTTTTGTTAAGGAAAAAACAAAATTTTGTTTTTTCTATTTTTAGTGATAAATTATCAAGATTTTCTTGTAAGTTAAGATGGAACACTATTAACTGGTCTTATTCAAGATCATGTTCTTGCTGGTAGAACATTAACAATGCGTGATCGATTTTTTGAAAAGTTTTTTATTTTATTCAAGTTATAAAATTATATTTATATAAATTCTTTTTTATTTTAAGATCTGATTATCAACAACTTGTATATAATGCAATTGGATAACATTCTCGTCGAAAAATTCATTTATTACCACCATCTATTTGGAAACCAAAACAATTATGGACTGGAAAACAAGGATTTATTTGTTTATCTTAATAAAATCTATTTGTTTTTTTATTAAGATTATTTCAACAATACTTCTTTATATTCAACCAGTTAACCAAGCTTCACTTTATCTCGATAGTAAATCAAAACTTTCAATGAAAGTAAAAAAAGATTCATATATAAATAATAAAATAATAAAAATATTTCTTATAGTCATGCGCATCAAAATCAAATGTAACAAATATTGATTTAATGGCTGATACAGATGTTATTATTCGTCATGGACATCTTCTATCTGGTTTAATTGATAAAGCACATTGTAGTTCAACACTTCCATCTGTTGTTCATTGTTATTATCAATTATATGGAAAACGTTGTGCTGCTGATCTTGTTACTGCTTTTTCGAAATTATTTACACTTTTTTTACAATATTATCAAGGATTTACACTTGGAATTGAACGGTAATAAAAATTTTTGTTTTTGATCTCGAAATAAATATTTTTTATTTTAGATGTTCTTTTACTTTCACTTGGTGTATCACATCGACGTCGATTAATAAATCAATGTCGTGCTCAAGCAGGTCAACAAAGCTTTACAAAAAACATTTTCTCTTTCGGAATATTCAAATGAACAAATACTTATTGATCAATTTGCTAAAGGATTTTGTTCAAAATCATTTGATGAACATATATCAAAAGAAATGGATATTAATTATAAAATATCTATTGATCAATATCAAAATCAAATTGTTAAACAATCTATGTCAAATTTATTTAAACAATTTCAAGAAAATAATTTACAATTTTTAATTCAATCCGGTGCTAAAGGTTAAACTATTGATTCATTGATTTTTATTTAGATTTCATTTCGTTTATTGTGAAGCATTTGAAATTCAAATAGGATTTAGACTGAAGTCATCGACTAGTACAATATGTTAGTGAAAATCAGAATCTATGTCTAAACCCTTCCATCCCATATTCATTATTTCAGGTCGACTAATTCTATACTCGAATCTTTTAATAACTACGTCACTTGGATTTTTATATCACTATCAAATCGATTTCGGATTTTTCAACCCGGAAATCCCTCACAAGCACAGAAGTGTATAAGATTCCGTCAAATTTTCAAACTGTCTGACGAAGGAAGGTCCCCAAGTTAAGGACGCTGTTCGACTCCATATTATGACTACGAGGTAGGACCAAGAAAAGCCTAACAGGATTCGTGCCTGTGGTAAGGGATTTCCGAAAACACCGAATTAAAGAATTTCGATTTGAAATTTTGTCCATAGATAGGTCTAATGGTCATTGTAATTGCCTGAAAGTTTCAGCCAAAACGAACGTTCCTTTCTCGAGATATTGAATTGTCAAAAAATAGTCACTTTTCACAGACAGATCACCAAAACCAAATTCAATATCTCGAGAAAGGAACGTTCGTTTTGGCTGTAACTTTCAGACAATTCTAATGACTATTAGACTTATCTATGGACAAAATTTCAGGTCGAAATTCTTTAATTCGGTCTTTTCGGAAATCCCTTACCACAGGCCCAAAATTCAGTAAAACGGTCATAACTCTTCGTCGATATGCCATAGGCACGAATCCTTTCAGACTTTTCTTAGTCTCATAGAGACCTACCTCGTAATCATAATATGGAGCCAAACGGTGTCCGTAATTTGGAGACCCTTCCTCGTGAGAACTTTGATACGAGCTATGATAATTATGTGAATGAACTAAATATGAGACCATGACGTAAATGAATTACTTTGTAATTCAAAATTCCCATAAAGAAATATCAAGCAACATTTTAATGATAACTTTGATCAATATTTCAATCAATAATCCTATCTTAATTTCAGCTTTCATTCACAGGATACACTATTCTTCATTAAAATCTATTAGTCTTGTAGGATCGATAAAGAACTACTACGGTCTATCAGGGTCTACCAGTGTCTATCACGGTCTATCAGGGTCTACCAGTGTCTATCAGGGTCTACCAGGGTCTATCAGGGTCTATCAGGGTCTATCAGGGTCTACCAGTGTCTACCAGTGTCTACCAGGGTCTACTAGGGTCTACCAGGGTCTAGGGTCTACCAGGGTCTACTAGGGTCTACCAGGGTCTACCAGGGTCCACCAGGGTCTAGGGTCTACCAGGGTCTAGGGTCTACCAGGGTCTAGGGTCTACCAGGGTCTACCAGGGTCTACTAGGGTCTACCAGGGTCTACCAGGGTCTAGGGCCTACCAGGGTCTGCTAGGGTCTACCAGGGCCTACCAGGGTCTACCATGGTCTACTAAGGCCTACCAGGCTCTACCAGGATCTACCAGGGTCTACATTAGAGTACGCTTATTTTAAGAAAATAATGACTTTGTATAGACTTCTTATAGGTTTTTGGGATCAAGGAATACAGATTTACTATTAGTTTTGCGGAATCTTCAAGCCCATTTTCTCTGTCAGAGTAAGGTTATTTTGAGAAAATAGCGATTTTTTTATAAAGCTTAACCAAAATTTTTAGGGATCCACGAATCCGGATTTACTATTAGTTTTGTGGAATCTTCGAATCAGTTTCCTCTGTCAGAGTAGGGTTATTTTGAGAAAAGACTGATTTTAATGAAAAGTTGACTAAACATTGTCTAAACCAAGAAACGTGAATCTTTATGTTGTTGCTCAATATTTTTTCGTTTATATCTCGGTTATGAAGGCCCATTTCGCGAAAATAAAGATTTATTACAAACTTCTCGAAAGAAAAAATTTAACTGGAAGGTTTTAGGAAATCATCTACAGAAACGATTTCCTTGAGTCTGATAATGTTAAGCCAAGCTTTATTAAAAATCATTTTCTCAAAATAAACGTTCGATGACTGAGAAAATTGAAGTTGAAAATTCCTGGAGACGACTTATAGAAGTTGATTCCGCACGTTGAGATCAGAAGTTGTTGTTATCAACAGTCACTCTATCATATGTTTGTTACTTGTACCCAAAATGATAATCAAACAGCCTTTTCGGTACGGATATTTGGTGGCGCGTAACATGGCGAGTGCCAGTTACCTTATAATGTTACTGAGCTATAACAGTTATTTAGCTGACCAAATCTACAAGGGTTTAGCACGTTACACAAACTTTCTCAATGTATATTTTTGTAAAACTCAAAAATATCATCAAAGAGGCTCGTAACGATGACAAAAAACAGTTATAGTGACGATATTGTCACTGAAGATCAATAAAATGATCAGAAATGAAAAATCCCTATGAAAGATCACTGTTGACAATAAAATGTCTAATACGTGACTGTGAGATATGTATATCATTTTTCCAATATACTCTTCAGTTTCATCAATTTTTCTAGCCTCAAAGTCTGAAAAAGAAACCGTTTGTAACAGTGATACAGCATTTTCGGGTGTCATAGCTGTGTTCATAGTTAATGCAGTAGCTGCAGATAGTATGGAAATTGGATGGTCCTCTTGAAAATGGATAACAAACATCGAATTACCTCGGTAGATCTGAAGAGGGAATTTACCGATATTGATCAGTTACGTTGACAGGTAACTGATAACGGCAATATTACGCGTCATCCAATATTCATATTAAAAAATTGTTTGATTACTAGTTGTGCACGAGTAACAAACATCTGAT